AAACAGGATGTGTCGCCACAAGTTCGTGAAATTGACACTGATGTTGCCTGGCTGCACTGTTCAAATATCAACATATGACACACTTCATGTGTGTCTGTGTGATATATTCATTCTGAAGCTGAATCAAAGCAGTAGCTAACTCACTGATGGTGAACAGGTGAGTTTGTTAATAAACTGTCAGCACAACAGTGATAAAATACTTTTGCGAGGGAACGCAAAAGTATTGCATGGGAACGCAAAAGAAAAAAATTCCCATGTCCCCTCGCGGGCTCCGTAGTTTCACAGCCCTACTTACAGGGAAAACAAATTAAGAGAAAAAAAGTGCTGCAATCTCTGCTTCATAAAACAAAACTGTTGATAACCAGCTCATAGACCATCACCTCATTAGATTAGATTAGATTAGATTAGATTAGATTAGATTAGATTAGATTAGATCAGATTAGATTAGATTAGATTAGATTAGATTAGATTAGATATAACTTTATTGATCCCCAAGATTCCTTCAGGGAAATGAAAGCTCCATCAGTATCATGCAGCTAACAGAAGTGACAGCATCAATACAAAGTCAGTCTAAATACAATAAATATAAAGGTTAGTAGAGCGGTGCAGGTGCTGGCTCCTCCCCCTCAGTGAGGTGTTTTACAGTCTGACGTTCAGAGGATGACCAGCATCCTCCATGATGTCCAGCTCATACAGCAAAGATAATGAAGGCTTTTCTTTCTTCCCTCCAACTGTCTGCTTCATTTCATCATCTGTAGTTATAATTGTACTGCCCACCTGGTGGACCTGCAGGTGAACAGCTCCTCTACAGACACCTGAGCCCCCTTTCAGAAAGCAGAACAAGTGGAAATCATGAGTAACTTCTGGGGTAACTCTAACCCTGGGTTTTGGGTTTCAGAAATCCAGATAGCAGTTATCCTGAGTTAACTTACCTCCACAACTGACTCTGTGAACCAACCTACTCTGTGGCAGGATTACTGAACATATCCTGAGTTAATCTGACCTTTTAGCTGAGATCCGGCATGAGGAAAGTTTCAGGCAGGGCGTGTCCTTTTCTAAAGGAGCCTGCAGATGTTGGAGCATGATAATCCACAGGAAGTTTGTGGTAAAGCTCAGATTGTGAGACTTATTTCCTCTCCATACTACAGGTCAGTATTATGTTAGGAGTTAAAGGAGTCAGACGCTCAGGTGGCTTTAGTTTTTATTAATCCTTCATACATGTCAAGAACACATAATCATGGGCATATTGAAGAAAAACAATAGACAATCCTTAAATATATTACTTACTCAAATCTTTGGGTTACAATACTGATTTACCTTTACATCTAAGTATACATTATATATATATAGTTTTAAAAATGTCCTGAAAGGAGTTTTTTATTTGGCAGCATGTGACCTGCCTGGTTTGATCCCAGAAAGTCACAAGAGTTGACCAAGAACAACGAGCTTCTCATCATGTCTTCACACCTTTACGACTCAAAGGTTTCAGTGGAAACTTCTTTGATTTTTCAGCAGCAGTGAAACTTATTTAATTAGCATAATTTATTTTATTGATACATTATCTTACAATACCCCCACCCCCCAACCTAATGACTTTAAATATTGTCGTCTTCATCTCGTATAATTTCTTGGCTTTCTTCTAATCTGGTTATTAGTTGTGAACCTAACGAATCCTCCACAGAGCTGTTGTATGTTCCTGGAGCCATTCTGTTGAAACAGAAACAGAAACAACAACATCAATCAACCAAGAATCAGGTATGGGCAGATGTAAATATGTTAAATTCGGCAGCGACTACGTACACGCCTTGGTACGATAAGTCCATAGATTTGGAGCCTGGCTGATTCAGGTAGCAGAAAAAGTCGATGTGGACCGGATCAGAGTGAAGGATCATGTCAGAGGTGGTGTTCTGGCCTGTGATGGTGTTCTGGTAGATGATCTGGCTGTCGTTCAGCTACGAGACCAAACATCCAGATGACGATTTATAGATTTACAGACTAGCTGAGCTGCTTGTAGAAAATAAAACGCTGGAGGACAGGGCCCACCTTGATGTGTGTCCCACATCTGCTGCCTGTAAAGCCGAAGGTCACCATGTGAGTCCGCTCGTCCAACCAACCCCTGCAGGTCGGGTCGTTCAGGTGCAAGTCGGAGTAGTCAATGTTGTTGTCCTCCAGGAGACAGTTGACCAGACTGATAGAAGCAGTGTTCTTCTTGCACACCGTCGGATCACCTAAATGTCACGATTCAAAAAAATAAAAACCTGTTAGAAGTTTCCTCCAGTCGTTCAGCCCTGTTATGTTCTCACAGCTGTTCACCTAAAGTGTTTCTCTCTCTGTAGCTGGAAGCAAAGATTGGCCGACAGAAGCAACGTGTTTCTCCACAATGATTCTTCTCTCCACAGAACTCRTGATCGCTGCAGGTTTGGTGCCAACAGAAGGCCTCAGGGAGGGCTGCAGAGAGACATGCTGATATAAACCCAACAAGTGATTCCTACAGAACAGATRGAGTGAAGCAGGTCTTACGGCAATCAGCCTTGGACTTCCAGCCATCCAGTGTGTTGTTGCTGTACAGGCTGCAGGCTCTGACGTAGGCCGTCAGGAACTGACACTTGAGGCCGTCCACTGCGGGATATTTGCACAAAGTGTCTGTGCAGGCCGTTATGTAGGGTTCTGGGTCGATGGCACAGGAGGTGAAGGGTGCCTGCTGCAGGAGGTTACAGCTGCTCCACAAGAGATAAACAATTAATAATTTACCACAAAGATCAGAGTGAAACAGAAACATGATTCTGGAGGAAAAGGCTCACTGTTCGGTTATCTCGGTGCAGTTGATCGAACAGTCATCAGTGTTGTTATACTGCRTCTGGCAGCTAGGGGRCGACACACAACAAGGTTAGAACTTTTTGCTGCTCTGCTTCATCCAAACAGTTTATCTGTGAGGAGGTCTTACTCCACAGGGCTGATCCCAGGGATCCTCGGTTCACTGCTGTTTTGACATAAACCCTTCAAAGAYGATCCACCAGGTCCTGGACCGGTTCAGGAAAGAATGAGAGTCACGTCAGCATCAAAGTTCAAACTGGATGAACACAGCAGAGTTTATCTTCACCATCAAACTAACTTMATGAATTTTCTGTACCTTCAGCAAGGATGTGTSCGGTGTAGCCRTCAAAGAAGACAGTGATGATGAAGTTGGAGAGTGACACTTTGGCAGTGACTCCAGTGTGGTCCTTAGAGACCATCACACCGTCAACCGTCTGCGGTAAGCTGAGGTCCAGGGTTGTGTCATCCACCTGCATGACACAGAGACAAACACTGAGTGAAACATGTCCAACACACAAACAGGCTGTTTTCTGGACCAAACTCCACTGACTCACCAGAACTCTGCCGCCTTGTTTCARGTGGAAGCTAACGTTGTTCAGCTGTAGCTTCACGCTGTCCAGGAAGCTCACATTTTTACGTCGACGCTCCTGGAATTTAGCTAACAGCCGGAAGTTTGAGACCGATGCAATCTCCAGCAGAGAGTACACGCACCGATCTCTTACAAAGTCCAACCGGCCGTAAAAGTCGATAACAGAAGGACCCGTCACAGTGCAGACGGCATGCAACTGGCAGCTGATGGAGACAGAAAAACATCATGAGCTGCTGCTGAGGCCCACAGCCACCAGGGGGCACTCTACTGCAAGATGTCTCACTGACAACCTAATATGCTGCTAGAGGAAACCCTTCTGATTAAAGGGTCAGACTTCTAACACTTCCTGTTGCTATTTCACAATAAAAGTTTGATGAGCGAGGATCACATTAAATAAAAGCTTGATCAGTGAGGACCAGAGYAAACAGGATAAGATGATGCAGGATRCAAACGATCAAACTCAGATCTCATTTGCAGTAATGAGCAGGGGTGTCCCGATCCAWAATCAACATTAGATATTGGTCTGATATTAGCCAAAAAATTAATATCAGATTTTATTGGCCTGCATCTAAACTCTCCAACGTAAGCACTCCATTCCAGTGGTCCACTCCAGAATATTTACACAGCAGCGCTTGGATCCAGCATAAATAACTCAAGTGACMTTGAATTGTTATTTTACACATTAAAATATTTAAAACAGTTTTTATCAGATTTAAAGGGGTAATTTTTTAGGGTCTTCCAATTCATTGCTTAATTTAATTTGAGAATATTCTTCTCCCCTGTGGACAATCCAGAACACCCCTCATATGTCCCATTTGAACCCCTCTGTCCACTGGAGAAGCTAGCCTCTCATGTCCAGTTTGGTCTCTTTAGTCCATTTCAGGACTATAGTGCTAAATGTCCCAATAGTTCCCTTGTGTTTCCCCACTAATAATTGTCCTATGGCACCAACTACTTTTATTTTGAGGTACTGCACTCTCGTTCCATCGTGTCCCAATTGTTACCTCGGGTCCACATTGTGTGATGGCAAAGTGTCTCCAACATTTCCTTCRCATAACAATCCGGATGCCCAGCAACCGTAACAATGGAAAAACTGGGACATTTCTTTGTTATGTTTAAGTAAAAAATTTAAATAAGCCAAAGGTTAATAATAAACGGCTCAGTTTATCCTCATACCTACAGTTCATTATTGTTCACTGYTGGACTTGATCAGGACTTTAGATTCCACACTACAGTATAAATAATAAAACAATGTAGGATACTTTCTGATATTGTCTTGGTTCAATACTGGTATCAGCCAACACTCAAGGTTGTAATATGGGCATCATATTAGAAGTGAAAAAGTTGTATCRGGACATCCTTAGTAACGAAGGTTGTTCTGATTGGTCATGGTGAATAACGGCTAAAGCTTAGCAGGTCCAGCTACTATCCCACCCTTATCGATAGTGATTTATATCAGCTGAAGTGGTCGGGGCATCTATGGGGGTGGTGGGGTGGGGGCTGTGGCAGAGTGGTTAGGGGAGTCATCCTGGAACTGGTAGGTCGCTGGTTCAATGCCCCATCCAGCTGTCCCAGTTGGTGTGTCCTTGGGCAAGACACTTCASCCCTAATGCCTCTGATGTGTCCCATCAGTGTATGARTGTGAYTGGCACTGATTAGTTTCCACAGATGATTGTTCATGTTAGCTCTGTAGAGCAGAGCACTAATRAGTGCTGTGTGAATGAGGACACAGATTGTAGTGTGAAGAGCTTTGAGTGTCATGGACGAATAGAAAAGTGCTWTATAAGTACAGTCCATTTACCATTAACTTGGCACCCCTAGAGGTTTTCTAGGAGTACCCCAGTGGCAGGAGACCCATGAGCAGACYCAGAACTTGGGGACAACATGGAATCCCTCAGGAGGATTTAAAGAGGGYTTCTCTGAGGTGACTCTGGACTAAAACTGTTTGATCACAACCTTTTGTTTCCTWAAGAAATATGAAGTGGACATATTTACCTGCCGTTGCCTTGACAGTGCTCCAGGGGTCCACATGTGGTGTTTTGAAGGATTGCAGTATCAGTACACATGAAATTGGTACAGGTTTCAGGAATAGAGCTCAACACTGAGCCGGGTTTATAAACCAGACCTGAGGATAGAGATTAAATGTTTAAATCAATCATTTATTTTCAGTAAAAACAAATAAGAACACTCAGATACTGTAGTTAAAAATCTGGTTCCAGCAGTTTACTGACCTGAATATCTGCAGCCACTTATGTCTGCRTAATCAGCATTATAAGCATTATCACTGGGGTTTGTAACTGTCAGTGTGTCCATAGAGTTATTATTAACATGGATATCAATGGCCTGCAGAATCACAAACAAGCAATGTAAGAAACACTGAAAAGTGTCTAAATCCATATTTAATAAACTGTAAACACAGAAGCTCACCACTGTAGCAGTTAAAACAAGATTCAGCTCCAGAGCTGCTTGGCTCCCAAAGCTCCCTATAGACAACTGAGCCTAAAGTGAAAACACAGTGAGTTTAAATACACTCAAAAACATTTAACAAAGTTTATCATCATATGACTTGATGAAGAACCACACTCACCACAGAGTCTTTTAACCAGAGTTCAAAGTAAACGTAACATTTCATCCTGGTCCTGATGTTGGGCACGTTCTCTTGAATCTGTTGTTCTAACACAGAAGATCTTTCATGGATCTCAAAGTATGCCTTATCCACTTTAGGCCCCAGCAAACAGTCTCCTCCGGTTTGAGGGTTGTAAAAGCCGTTGAAACAGATGGCAATGTTCTCACTTGTTATGTTTATCTGGAAAAACCCAACACATGAGCCACAGTTAGACTAAAGTCTTCTGGTTGGTTTGAGTCTTCTATCTTCAATCATGTCTTCAGTCTGCTCACAGTGGACACCAAGCCATAATCATGACAAAACATGAGAAGATTGAGTAACATTCTGGAGTTTGTGAAGCATCTACTCACGTATAACTGGTCGTACGTCTGTCCATAAAACATGACAGGACACAAGCTGATGTTGAGCTCTGAAGAGTCTTCAGTTCTCACTGCAGCAGCACCTGAAGACACGAAGGCATGTGAGAAGACGTGAAGACAAGTGAGAAGACGTGAAGATACGTGAGCAGAAGTTACTATTATTACCCATCTCATAATCTACAGTAAAATTAAATTATGTGTTTCTGTTTCAGAGTTAGTCCCTTAATTCAAGCCTTTTATCAAAAATATGACCCTTTTAGAAATAAATGAACAACAACTGAAGTCTTGTTGGGAATTTTCAGAAAGTGCACGTGCTTACCTGGCAGTGCAAAGACAGCTGACAGGTAGAGCAGGAGGCGGAACATGTTGAAGGTGACCAATCAGCTGACAAAAAGCTGGAAGATTGTCAGAGAATCAATCATTCACAACATTACTTGAAACCTAAAGTTGTTGAAAACATGTCATAGTTAAACCAAAACTGTCTGAATAACTTTATTGTTGTTGTTTAATCTAGACTCTGATAGAATCTTCTTCAAACATGTAAAGAATTCCTCTTGTGCTTGCACACACACCCTTCTCCTGATTTGCATATTAGGACTTAGAGAACTATCTAAAATATTTAGGACACGCATGTAAAAGTAATGACTCCAAACAATGGTGGCATCAGAGTTTTATTACCTAAAACTAAAATATTTTATGGTTAGSACACAGTGTGTGGAAAAATACAAGTCTGATTGTTTTCAGAAACTTTGTTGAAACATTTTMTCTTTTCTTTTTTCTTAGACATTATCAGTCTGAAGAGTTGCAGGCAAACTCTGTTYTAAAAGCAGAATCAACCAGTTTGCCGATGACACCCAGAACTGGTAMTTCACATAAAAACGAGGACCATCAGTCTAATTGATTTTTTGTCATTGTTTGTGGTAAACAAAGCTGCCACTGTTCAAAAGGATGGCCCAACATGGGAGAACAACATCATCAGGTGGTCCAACACAGGAGAGCAACATCATCAGGTGGTCCAACACAGGAGAGCACCATCATCAGGTGGCCCAACACAGGAAAATCACATCATCAGGTGGTCCAACACAGGAGAGCAACATCATCAAGTGGTCCAACACTGGAGAACAACATCATCAGGTGGCCCAACACAGGAGAGCAACATCATCAAGTGGCCCAACACAGGAAAACCACATCATCAGGTGGTCCAACACAGGAGAGCAACATCATCAGGTGGTCCAACACAGGAGAACAACATCATCAGGTGGCCCAACACAGGGGAACAACATCATCAGGTGGCCCAAAACAGGAAAGCCACATCATCAGGTGGTCCAACACAGGAGAACAACATCATCAAGTGGCCCAACACAGGAGAGCAACATCATCAGGTGGCCCAACACAGGAGAGCAACATCATCAGGTGGCCCAACACAGGAGAGCAACATCATCAAGTGGCCCAACACAGGAAAGCCACATCATCAGGTGGCCCAACACAGGAGAACAACATCATCAGGTGGTCCAACACAGGAGAGCAACA